GAAAAATGATGATGAAAATTCATGATTCATTGAAAAGTTGTAGATATTAGAAATATCGATCCTTTTAAATAAAGTACTTTACGGAAGATCGTTGTGAGAGGTTTATCGCGTCTACTTTGATTGCCGAAAATATTTAATATTTTTTCCGCGATTAGAGGCTACTTGCTATTTATTAAAGAAAACTCCCGTTTCGTAAATTTACTCATTGAATAGGACTGCCATCTGTCGGCATAACATGGAAAATATTTCCTCCTTTCAAAATTACAATAGTACTAAATTGGAATCTTTTTAAGAGCTTTCCCTTTCAGGGGCGGTGATTTCGCCTTGAAACCGGCATTTTCAACATTTTTTTTTTAATTTAGAAAATTTGGTTTTCCCCCCCCCCTCAAAACCGCTGCTAAAATTAAATTACTACTTAAAGCTGATAACAGATGGCAGCACCAAATCTTTCTGGGCATCCATTAATTGATATGAATCATTCAAAATTAGCTTCTTTTCCACACTACTCTCCTTTTGACCTATTTTAAAAACAAAAAACCCAAAACTTTTTAATTTTTCCACAATATATTTTATCAGCAGGCATCAATGAGTAGTGAAATGTCCTTAGTTCATAAAAAAAAAAAAAAAAAAAGTGATGGAACCCTTTTAATTTTGAATGTTTTCAGTTGCGGTTTCAGTATGAAACCACCGCCCCTCTGAGACATCGAAGAAAGGATCAGAAAGACGCAGTCGCGAGATTTTTTGCAGTTGTGTTTATTGCTTTTGGGATCACTGCTGTAAGCAGTTGCACCATATCTTCCTTTGAGTGGCTTCAAAGATGAGGATTTATGGAGCTTTTCAGAGAGGGAAAACATTTCCTATTTTTTACAGAGAGACAGAGCACACTGAAGAAACACTCACAGTCGCGTTTTTATTCTGCTTCTCTTCGCCAGGTCGCTTTTCTCATTCTTCTAGTTCATAGTTAAAATATTTGTATACATCTAAATTTATTTTATTTCCATATATAATTGTCTTAGTTTTTAACATAATTTTTAAAATTATTTTCTAGTTTTATGTAAGTAATTTAGTGCATTATTAGTTACTTTTTGTCTCATACTTTTTGTTTCCTGTTTTAAATTTTTTATTTATAATTAAAAATTCGTGTTTATGCAAATATTACTTACTTCATTAGTTGTTCAGTAATTTACTAGTATAATCTGCAATTTGGGTTACGTTTAGATACTTTTCAGCAAAGTAAAGATAAATAAGCAAATGTTTAGTCTTAAATGCTCTAGAGGGGCGCTGTTTTCAAGGCGAAACCGGTCCCCTTTCCATAGAGGGGGACGAAAAAATTATTTTAAACTCATTTATGTTGTCTACAGGACCATTGCATGTCATTATGCTTACTTTTTCATAACTTTTAGAAAATCATGCATTGCGCCCCTGAAAGGGCTAAATTAAACAGCTCGGGTGGAGAGGGAATAGGAATGCTCAATTCCGATTGAATATTTAAGTCAGAGACCTTATTTTTAAAATTTGTAAATTTTTATTCGATTTGTAATTGTAAGAAATTATCTTAAGTAAGTTTTGGCATTTCAACAGTAATTTCATAAATTTATATTACATTTTTTTAAGTATAAACTTTAGGATCAATACAATTACACAGGAAGTAATCTTCAAGAGCATTTAAAATTTTCTTTTTTTGATTAGTTTTAATAATAATGTTCTGGGAGTAATAATTTTTCGAAAACTTTGTTAAATTATTCAAGTGAATTTATCAAAGTAAATAGTTTTCTTCATTTAATAACTGCCTGTTTTTTACATACTGTAGCTGAATCTTATTGAGCACTTTTGTCTTTACAAAATGTTATAAAAATACTATTGTATAAATTAAATTTCAGCATTGGTAACTTCGGATCTTATGCGTATACAGCAGCTCACATTTATTTTCGAACACTTGTATTTTTGAAATTTATTTGCATAGATCTTGTATTAAATATTGAAACATATATTTCAAATGTTTTCCAAATATATTATTTTTCTCTATTTTTCTTACATGTTACAAAATAAACATCACCAAAATATTCTTTGTAATAAAATAATTTATTCCAAAGTTTGTTATGCAGCAACTTTCCGGATCCTCGGAAATTTTGTTGAGATGTTTTGAAAGATGATGTCTTTTGTCATATTTTTTAAATAAAAATGTCACAGCAATTATTGTCTGCATTTGGAAATTATTACTTGTTTAGCTATTTTAACAGTTTCATAGCTGAAGCGAGCATGGCAAAACGCTACAAATTAAGAAGCTTTGTTCGAAATTTAACTATTCAAGATTTTATAGATCAAAAAAGTATTCAAAATATTCAAACAATCCTTGATGCAAAGCGTTCTAGCACGAAGGAGTCGAGCCCAAAATATTAATGCCGTCAAATTTGCAGCTAATTGATAACGATCTTCACTAAAAGTTAACCCTGAAATAACTGCTAAAAAATCATTAGGGTCAGGGATACAATGGAAGATCAGCAAGAAGAAAATTCTTCATTAACAAGGAAACAATGTGTCTCACAAAAATGTTCGGGCACAACAATATTTTTACTTTTTTAAGTTAGGAGAAAAGATTTGAAGTAAACTAATAAAGAATATTTTCCCTTTGAATACATATTTTCCTAGCTCTCTCTTTGTACTAAATAAATTTGAAAAATCCAAATAATAAATTTAAAAAATAACGTTTTAGTCTGAAATGGATGAAAAAGATACCGCAAGATAAATCAGACATTTTCATAATTTCTAATTAAAATTATCTGCAATAAATTAAAAACTAAATTTTATGGAATTAGTTTGGATAAAGAAGCTAAAAAATCTAAAAATTGTTTGCTTTTATAATTCAACTTTTCTTTTTAGAAAATATTCGTTATTTTAATGTTTTCTTGCAATGGCTCGGTCACGAAAGGAAACATCGTTAGAAACCGGCATATAAGTTATTAATTTGCCTTAAAAAAAGGGAAACCTATTAGAAAAATTGCCTACTTAAATTTGATCTGTGATTCCAGTTTTTGATATTATTAAGCGTTATAAGAAACAGAATCATCTTCAAAACGAAAGAAGACCTGGAAGATTATCTAAGTTATCTCATGGAACGAAACGCTTTATTCTAAGGAATATTAAAAACTTGTTGCGGAATTTTGTGAATTGTTGCTGTTGCTGTCTTGTCCATTATACATGGAATAATGGTTACTAGAGCCTACTCGAAAGAGAGGCTGGACTTCTATTTTCCACCCCCAATTTTAAGTGCAAGCACCCCGGAAAGGATCCGGGGGATCCCACCCCTCTCCCCTTCCACCGAACCACACGAGAGCATATTTAGAGTGCCGCCATGCCGCACCGACACTATACATTTACATCTTCTCCGAGATTCGAACCCGGACCCTCGGTACCGTAGTAGGCTTCCCTACCACTATACCGTCTGGATGACACTTTGTGAATTACATGGAATATGTGTAAATCCAGAAACTGTAAGAAGAGTAATGCGATCTGCATTATATCATGGGCGAGTAGCACACAGAAAATTTTATGTCAGTTAAAAAATAATAATAATAATAATAATAATAATAAAAAAAAAAAAAGAAACTTTGACTCGTTTTTACAAAACCGGTGAAATGTTGCTTGCTGATAAAAACTAAATTTAACACCTTTTTTCGGCTCAGATGTACGAGTGTTGGTGTGGAGACAAACCAAAGAGGAATTTCGGAAGCAAAACTTAGTACCAAGTGTTAAACATGACGGAGGAGGAATTATGGTATGGGAACCTATGGCAGATGCCGGTGTTGGCAATATAGAGTTTTATAGATGATAAGCATTTTGAAATTTGGCATCGTCAGCACAAAAACTTAATATACAAAATAGCTTTAAAATCTACCAGGACTGATCCAGAGCATACTGTGCACAGTGTCAGACTCTGTCTGTTATATAAGTAATTTCGGCACCACCCCAATCTCCAGATCTTATTGAACATATTTGGCAAGAAATAGAATCGAAAATTCGAAAACAGAGCATATCTTTGCGGCAACAACTGAAAGCAGTGATTCAAGAGGAGTGGCATAAACTAAGTCCAGAATAAAGAAAAAGACTTTTGGAGTCAATGCCCAAAAGATTAAATGAAGTGAACAAGTGTAAAGGTTATCCCACAAGATATTAAGGAGCAGAAGCAGTATAGTTTTTGGCTAATAATAAAAGTTTCCAATTACTTTTGTGAGAATATCTTTCCCCATTAAACAAATGATATTAATTTTTGAATTTAATTTTCATTTTTTCAAAAAGTATTTACTACAAAAAAAATATTCAGTTTATATATCATTAAAATAAAAGCCTTTCTTTTTGTTTTAATTTCTTTTAGTTTTTTTATGTTCATTAAAGAAATTTAATACAAAATTTCAAATTTCGCGATTATTTTTGTGAACCACTGTATACTGGGCCATTTTTGTGTATCTGGCGTTCGCAAAATGCACTGCGAACGAAAATTTATCACATTGATATAATGTTTTTTTTTTTTTTTTTTTTTTTTTTTTTTTTTTCCTTTTTTTGCGATCGAACCAAAATTTCATACATTTGGGTCAGTATTTTTATCAGCAAATTTAAGCCGAATATAAGTAAAATACTTTTCTTCAGCGTTAAACTTGATGGTAAAAATTAATAAAAATTTTTTAGTAAAAATACGCAATAATTAGAACAAAGTGTCATTTTTTTCACAGTTAATTTGTTGCCAAAATTAAAATATAAACCTTAGGAATGAAATTTTACAAAAAATATTATCGTTACTTTTTTTAAATGTTAACTACTTCATTTAACTGATAATTAAAAAAATAAACACTTAAGTAGAATTAAAAAAATGAGCATTTAACTGAATAAATTAACTAGAATTTTTGTAATATCACAAATGTGCTATGAATTAATTTATAACTTTTTTTTTGGTATTATTACTTTAAAAAGAACGTGAACAGTGTGAAACACGTGATTGTAACAGACTAATAATATCTTGCGATCAAGTTTTGAAGTATTCTAAACACTTTAGCTTTGAATACTGAATGATTGCGTTTGACAATTTGACTGATCTTCAGAAATTTGACTTCAGAACTTTTCAGTAATTTTTTTTTCTTTTCAATAACAGAAAAAAAGATATAGTAAGTATATTCAAGGTTTTTATTAAAACAAAATTTTTATATTACTTTTGTTATTCTTTAAGTATTTGGTGTACCATAAATTTTAACGGAGCTTTGTGATTCAAAAATTATTTGAAAATTTGCTTGTCTTCAGAAGTATTATGCATAAAATATTTATTTTTAATAAAATATGTAGCATTTGGAAATATTTCAATATATTTTAAATACAGAAATTTTATTAGATAAGTAAATTCTCGTAATTGATCGATCATGATAAAATCATTTCTCAGTTCATATAAATAATAAGAAGTAAAATATAAAGTTCATTTTCGCTTCCAGATCACAGCAAATGAAACTGAAGTTAAAAAATTTATAGAGTAAGTCAGAAAGACTAATAAAAATTTAACGATAAGATATTTCCTTAAATCCAGAAAGCTTTAGACAACGATTAATTAAATATGTTTGAAAACGAAGCTAATATTATTTACCAGTGTTCTTTTTTTATAAGTATGATGCTGTGCTTCCGATGCATTCGAATAGCAATATTAATTCATTATTTCGTAACATAATAGGCACAGTTTTAATAATGCAGTTTTTGTTCATTTCGCTTAACTGAATCGCATCGCTTAAATGAATTTCTTTTTATGCCTTCAAAATTATGAAGAAATCGTCATTAAACAGCAATCGTTTGCAAATTTTATTTTGATCATATTTTTATTGATAATGGTAAGGTGTGAAATTCTTTGAAGTTTAAAAATTAAAGAAGAGTTACTTCTGGTGTTGCCATACTTGAATAAACAAACATTTTGTTAAATAAAGGTAATATTATTTTATATTTCTGTTTAGAACATCTTTTTATAATTTTATAACAATTTGTGTGTTCATGTTTGTTTAGCTAGTTAGAAATCAACTCATGTGCGCTTGCAGTGTAGCTTACATATTTTAACTTATTTCTGAAACATGCTGAAGTAGAATTTCCATTATAAAACCCAATATGAATCGCAAATGTCATATTCGATGGATATCAAATTGATGTAAAAATATCTTATTTTGCCTTTTTCTCATTTATTACCCCTTGTGATATCACAGTTTAAGAATTCAATTGCTTTTCAAAAAATTTTTGCAATCTCGATATAAATATTAAGATTACGAACGAATAAATTCATGAACAATATTTAAAAATAATTTGTTAAATACAGTGAGCCATATAAGTATACAGATTAAACTTAACACATTTATAGAAGGATTCCGAAGGTCATTAAAGATTGAAAAATAAGAAACAGAAAATAGCTTATTATGATGAATATGTTGGTGAATAATACCGTAATTTTTATTACCTCAGAAAAAATGTTATTATTTTCACTGCGCACGTAAAAGAAATTGTTGCCACTTCAGTTACAGGAAATATTTTTTGCAAACTTCATACGCACAAAACGTGCACAGCTATATCTTGAATAATTAACTTTAAGCGCAAAAGTCTGCAAGTGGCGTTCATTTTGAGGGAATAATAATATGGCACATTTTTTCCCCCTAACATTTGCATTGTTATTTTGAATAGTTCATATGATTTTAAATTTTGATATTTTGTGATAACTCCAGGACGAAGGAAAATGCGCATTGAGGCAAGAATCGTGTTAACAGTTGGCACCATCATATTCTGATCTATCTTGAATTTTTCAGGATTAATTCTTAAACTGGTTAACATATTGTACAAATTTAGCCTAAAATTGCTACAAATCTCTTTCTTAAAAAATCAGCTGTCTTTAAAATCCTCCACAAAAAATATTCCTTCCATAAGAAAAAAATTGAGACAACATCAGGTTAAGTTTAGATTAATTATTATTATTATTTTTAAATTGGAAGTTAAAAAACTCAAAATCAACTCAACTTACTATCTAGAGAAAGTTTTAAGTCCAACATTTACAGAAGAAATTCCCCTTTTTTATCCCGATGACTTTCAGAGAATGACACTTCGCCAAGACAAAGCAACAAATCATACTTTGGAAAGTACCACTACAGATTCCTTGAAAGAATAAAGACTGATACAGGTATTCCACATGTACCTTTTCAACGTATGGCTTCGCAGTCCTCATATGTTTCCCCTATGGACTATTGTCCTTTTGGTCTCTTGAAAAGAGCTAAGCGCAAACTCACCATTATTCTAGAAAGTAATGGAAGAGGGATGGAAATCAATACCCTGGAAATTTTACAAAATTCTTTTCTATAATGCAAATCTCTATGCAGACTTATTATTCAGGAAAAAAGTATCGGGTTAAGCATTAAAAAAAAAGGGCTTTACATTTTAAACGTTAAAATAAACAGCCCCGGAATCTTCTTAAACTTGTGTAAACACCCTTTGTATAAGGGAGTTGGCTACACGCCAATACTGAACGTTGCCAGAGTTTTCTAGAACACGAATCTTATAAGATTCTATTGAGGAAAAAAAAAAAAAAAAAAAACCTTCTTTTATTGATCAATATTTTTCACAATAATCTGTATGAAAATTCTTTTAACTTAATCTCTTAACACAAGAAGCCTTGTTTTTAATTTCGTACAAATGCAAACATTTCTCTCTTTTATTTGCGTAGGACCTCTAAATATGATTCTCAATTTCTGTATCAAATATGTGTCATTTTTTGTCGTATGGGAGTCAAGTTTTATGTGTGTGTGTGTGTGTGTGTTTTATTTTTTATATAAAGAATAAAATTTTTCTGAACATAAGCATGGGGACCGGAGGAGGATGTAAAAAGTTAGAGTTTGTAATTTTTATAAAATTGATGTATTTTAATTTTAAAATACCAAAACATGAATCTTGCGTAATTTGAAATATTTTTGTAATATGAAGTATATGTTTACGACCAACGGTTGCGAAAAGAAAGGACTTTTGTGGACACTGATTTTTATCATTCATCTAAAACCTCCACAGAGTTAAGTTTTTACGCATCCTTGAAACCATTGCAGTTTAACAAGGCAGTTTTTCGATTATTTTGTTTTTCAATTGTTAGGGCACGAATTAGCATGGATAATAGGGATTTACCGTACATCTGCTGTACATCAAGAATTCGCATACAAAATCGAACTGAAGATGTTCTTAGGAGCACGTATCTCATTTATAATCTGAAGAACATCTGGTGTCTAACATAGGTAAACAGGCGTATGTCCCACGCCCTCCCCTATCTAGCGACAAAAACTCCCTGGAGCCCCAAGAGGCTGCGTCGGGAGTTTATTGAGACGATATGAAAAAGGTTGTACATGGCCAAACAAGGGCGCTCGTGTTTTGTTTTATAGATTTGGAGAGACTTTGACTGAACAAAAATGGCAAGGAAACAAAAATGTTGCAAAAAAAAAAAAAAAAAAAAAAAAAAAAAAGGGCAAGAATAAGCAAGAATTAAAACATGCAAAGAAATATAATTAAGGCATGTGTTGAGGTAAGCTGCTAGGATAATTACCTCAACTGGCATCTTGTGCACAATAAGTTGAGTTCTGTGCTAGTTAGCATAGATTACACAAGCGTTTGCACATAAGGTTGTCCACGGTTGCGTAGTGGTATGCAGGTGTCCGTGTTGGGGATATGGTGTCTGAAGTAATATGAAGGGAAGGAGCCGTGCCCAGTGATATATCTTGTGAGTTGTGGGGTTGCAATGAGACGGGCCGTTGACACTTTTGGAAAGAAGATATAGGTACGGCGACCTGTTTCACTTGTGTTCCATTCATGTTGCCACTCTCTGAGGACTACTTGATGCAATATTGATTTTAGATGAGACGGCGGAGCTGGGATGTTCTCTGGGTGGGCATCGGTTCCGTTGTCAGCTTCCTTTGCCAGGATGTCTGCAGCCTCTTTACCCTCTGTGCTCCCGTGAGCTTTGACCCAGGTTAATTAAATGCTGTTATATCTTCTGGGGTAAAGTTGACTTTGTATGTCCGTAATTACTGACGATGTGTGGTGGTGATTCAGGATGGCATGGAGAGATGATAGGCTGTCGGAGCAAATGTAAATGGGATGCTGTGTGATTATTGTAGCTTGTTTTAGTGCTTTGTGGATATCACACGAATGCATAGTGCTGCGGCTTGGAACACACTTATTATGTTGGTGGAGTTGGTCTTTCCAGCTGGAAATCTTTTGGTTGTGGTGATAGAGTACGTAAGCGCTGCCTACCCCGTTTTCTGTTTTGGATCCATCTATGTAATATGTGTAGGCATTTGCGGGGATCATGAGAGGTTGGCTAGTAGAGACAGAGATGCGCATACCGATTCCTTTGCGACCAGGATGTAAGTGAGGAGCTGTGCTGGGGAGTTCATACGTCGCAGGGTACCATGGAAATTGGCATCCTTGCGAGTTGTAGAATTCTTGTAAGTGCGCTCTCTTACTCCGCTCGCAGGTTTAGAGGTGGAATGCCTGCCAAAGCAATAGCAGCATTTGTGGCTGTAGTGCGGTAGCCCTTGCACATCATGAGGGCGAAGGGACGCTGTATAATCTGAAGTTGCTTTTGTTTGCGTCCTTGCAGGGGTGTGGACCAGATAGCTGCAGCGTAAAGGACGATGCGTTCGACTACTGTTTGATAAAAGATTTTGGTAATGTACGGTTTTGTCCCCAGATGGTGGATTGAAACTGCCTTTATTTGAGAGCTATTGCATTTGTTTTGCTGCGTAGATGTTGGAGATGGGGGATCCAAGTTAACCGACGGTCCCAGATGACGCCGAGATATTTGAGGGTGTCATTGAATTTGAGATTACGACCTCGAAGTCTGACGCAGGGGCGGCGAGTGGGGTTAGTGCCTGCCTTTGGTATGGTGACTTTTCTGCAAAGGTGGTGAGTTTGGTGGCTTGGCAGAGAGAACTGAATTGATGACATATATTTGTGCCTCCTTGTTCAATTTCATGTCTTGTTTTCCTTTGAACCAGGAATGCAACGTCGTCGGCGTATGCGATCAGTTGTGTGTGTTGTGGCCAGTTAAAGCAGTGGTTTCTAGATAATTGTAAATCTTTTGTTATATATTCTTCTGCATTCATTTGAAAATGAAAATTAATTTTTTAAATATAAGCATTTACTTAACTCATTTGTTATTATTAAATAATGGCAAATAATTTTCAGTAATGTCGAAAGCTGTATTAGAACCGCTTTCATTTTCATTTGATTGAGATTCTTTCTAAAAACTTTCATCGATGAAGTATTTATTACCTATGAAATGCAATATTAATCTTACATGACTGTAATGTTACTTAAAATATGATAGATGTAACCGTCTGTTAAAAGCAAACAAAATTAAAATAACCACACAACGTTAATACGTTAATTTAGAATGTTATTGTAATACATGTCATAATAACATAAACTCATGCGTGGAAGGGAATATTTTTGATATTTAAGCTTAATTTATTTTAAAATAGCAGTCTAAGTTTTGTCTAATAAGTTTTGTCCTAAAATATGAGGAATTAAATCAACTGATTATGGTATTTCCTTATAGGGCATTGTAATAGTGTTAAGTAACTATTTGATCTATATTCAGAGAAGTGTAAAAGAATATCAGTATGATGTCATTAATATCAAAAATAAAATGTGTCCATAATAAATTGAATGAAATAAGTTTAAATATCAATAACTTTTCTTGTTAGAAATGTCTTCAGCTCAATGATTGTTATTTTCACAGCATTAATAAATTGAACATAATAAGGATTATATAATCAGTGCCTTTTAACTTTTGGAGTAATAATTCTTACATCTCCAATATGACATGAATCACACCATATGATACTTTTTAAGGGCCGTTTCAGTCTTAAAATCTCAAAAAGTCGCGTACTGTGTTATAATGTTTTAACAGTGCAATATTAACTGAAAGGTCCTTCAGACACTATTAGACTACTAAGCGAATTATCGCTCCGTTTATGCAAATGCGACAAGTCTTGGGGAAAGTTTTAAAAAACTTGAATTGAAACAGAAAGCATCCTTGTGCGAACAATCAGCACTTCACTACTTGCGGATATAAAAAATAACATAAAATTGAATTTATAATTTTAAATATATCGTAGCCTAAAACTACAGAAATCTGGCCTAAGTAAGCTGACTCAAACTTTAATAATGCGATTTAATTTCGGGTAGCAGATGGCTAATGCCGGAATATTAACTAGCATACCTGGATGACAGGAAATAAAGCTGCAAGCGTCACTACCAAGAGTTCTAAATCTAAAACATTCAAAATACTCGCGTTAATGCTTTAACTCGTTTGCATTCTGACAAGGACAGTTACATGGCTAATGGAAAGAAGTAAAAAATACAAATTACAAAAATTGGTTAATTAACATAAAATACCTGGCGACGTTACACAATAGAGACTATTAGTAAACGATTTTTTATGTTAAAAGTTTAACGTTCGAATGCATTTTACTATTAGTTAAATCTTTTATAAATATTTAAATCTTTTGTGCACTTAATAAGATGCGTTTCTAAGCCATGTGATATGCACCTCGTCTATAAAATTTCAGAAGGAGAATTCAGAAATCAGCTGACTACTGACAATTCAGAAACTTTGCTAGTATTGATTTCGATTTATTCTGTTGATTAAAATTAGGGCGCAATGTAATTAAGATCTTTGTTAATGTCTTGCTAATTGTCAATGTATAATATCCATAAATGAATTTCAATGACGTTTTCAAAGCAGTTTTTAAAATGACTGGGAAAAAATTACGAAATCTTAGAAAATTTTGTTAAAAAGTTTTAAAAAAATAATAAAAGTAATCTGAATTTCATATTTGGTCTTACTGCGATTAACAGTAACCTTTTACTTACACTTTTAATTTTGCATTTTCCTTGACGAAATTAAGAGAGACCAAAGCAGACAATTGTCTTTTATGACATAATTTTTACATAGATCTCTAATTTATATTTCGTAACCAAGAACAAATATATCTAAAAATTTTAATTTTATAATTATATTTATTTTGAGGATTTATAAAGTAACCGAAAATTTTAAAGTACCATATGTAATTAAATTATAATTAATACATTTTCTTTTATTAGTTCAAGGACCTTTAATTAAGAAATCATATCATCATGCGTGAGTGTATTAGCATCCATGTTGGACAAGCTGGGGTTCAGGTGGGAAATGCCTGTTGGGAACTTTATTGCTTGGAACACGGTATTCAGCCTGATGGACAAATGCCTAGTGATAAGACTGTTGGTGGAGGTGACGACTCTTATAACACTTTCTTCAGCGAAACAGGAGCAGGAAAACATGTCCCTAGAGCCGTTTATATTGACTTAGAGCCTACAGTTGTGGATGAAGTTCGCACAGGTGAGAAATGTTTGAACTCTTAAAATATTCGAAATTAATGCCTGAAAAGGAAATGTTTTTAAGATTAAAAGGTGGGTAGGGCCGATCTTATTATAGTCGGCCGCCCACGTGCAAATAAAAATTGGCTGCCCTTTTTCACAGAAATATAATATATATATATATATAATAATCATTTCGCTGCTCTTAAATTTGGCCGTCCACGTGCTATACTCCATCTTGCTGCCCAATAGGATCGGCCCTGGGGGCAATATACTAAGATCGAAATACATTGAATGAAAAAAATAGGAATCACAAAAAATGCCTATCCTTTATTATTTCACAGACAAGTTAATATTCATGAATCTTTGAAAACTGCGAAAGCTATGTATATAAGTGATGATAGATGTTGATAGATGTTGAAGCACAAAACGCAGATAGATGTTGAAGCACAAAATGATAGGTGATCCGTAATGAAGAATAAACTTCGACATGTTGGTGACATCGTAGACAGAAGATGGTTTCATAAAAAGTGGAAGCTTGAATTCATGGCAGATATAAGTAAATATGAAAGTTGTTATTTATATTTTTTACCTTAACAACAGTAAGTGTTACTAGGCGACTGCAGACGATTCCAATCGAAAGTTTGATATTTTTAGCCAAAACTTCTTCAGAATGTTTTGCCATCTTAGCGTGATTTGTGTTGTTTACAGTAAATTGAAAAATTCATTTCGGGCAAAAAATGGAAGTGACTCGTGAACATTTTCGTGCGATTATTTTTCGTAACTTTCGACGTGGCTTATCAAGACAAGAGTGCTTAGAAAAACTTAATTCTTTATGCAGCGATAAAGTACCATTCTACAGCGGTGTAAAAAACTGGTGTAACGCATTCAATCGTGGTTGACGTTCGCTCCAGGACGAATTCCGTGAAGCTCGTCCAAAATCGGTTGTTGTTCTAGAAAATATCGATGCTGTGTGTGCGTGAACTGATAAAGCAAGATAATCATATGACATACCATGAGATTGAGGCATCTTTGTGCATTAGTATGGCAAGCATCAATAAGATATTACACGAACATTTCGCTGTAAAGAAGATTTGTTCGTGTTGGATAAGAAGGCTTATGTTAATTGGTGCAAGGAAATGTTGAAAAAATACGCTCAAGGTGCATCAAAGGTTGTGTATAATATCTACATAGGTGTCGAATCGTGAATCTATGCATAGGAGCCCGAAACAAAACAGCAGCCGACTGTATAGGTCTCCCAAGACGAGAAAAATCCAACAAAAGTTATTCGTGGAAGAAGCACATCGAAGCAAACGGTTATCTGTTTTTTCGGCATTACCGGTTACGTGGCGACAGTGGCATTAGAGCAACGCAGGTGCAGGTCAATTTTGAATGGTACATGACCATTTGTTGAAATTCGGAAAAGGCAGAAGAAGAGGCGAATCATTCTTCATCATAACAACGCGAGCTCTCACACATCGGTTCAAACAAAGGAATTTTTGATGGGCCAAAACATCGAATTGAGGGGTCATCCACTATGTACAGCCCTGAAATGGCACTCGGTGACTTATTTTTTATTCCCGCACATCAAAAATAAATTACGTGGACAGCAATTTGCAACACAGTTGATGCATTCAAAACGGAAGAAGCGGCTGATGCATTCAAAACACATGTTTTGGAGTTACCTCAACCGGAATGGGAAAAGTGCTTCGAAAATAGGTTCAAACGCTTGCAGGCCACAAATACCATGGCACACTAAATGTGCCTGTTCCAGAATGTAAAGTTTATATTTTTGATACTATTGCGGAAGGAAGAAAACAGCGCAGCAAGGTATTAGGAGCAACAGAAGCAGAAGCAAAGTGTTTGTGTTCAGGATGAAATCTTAATTCAGAAATGGGTTAGTTTAGGTCTTAGTACATTTGATTAATTAATAATAGTACGAAATAACTATTGGCTGTTTTAGTTCCATTTGCGTAGCCAAAATTATGTAAAAGTCATATGATATGGATTAATTTAGAAATGAGGCAGTCGAGAAAAATTATTATAAGCAATCATTATTTTTAGAACAGAAAGGGGAAATACCCAAACTAAAATAAATAATTAAAGGGATATTGCTAATTTAAGTTAATATTTTGATTTACTTATTTTTTATCTTACATATATTCTAAATTTTCTTAATTCTAAATTTAAATTTACGATTATTCTCTTGAAAATGAAAATCAAAAACTATTGGAAAAGGAAACTTACTTAAAGTTAATACTTTTTAATAATGAGATAGAGCTATAGGAAAAATACTTAGTAGAAATTTTAAACTGTGTTGAAATTCATATCCAATAATATTAAAAAATGAATTAATACATATCAAAAGAAATTTAATTATTGATGATCCCATAGCTTTATCCTAATGTTCTAAAGTATTAATTTCTAATAAGTTTCATTTTACAATAGTTTTTACGCTTTATTTCCCAGAGGATAATCTTATAGAATGTTAGGGGGGATTACAGTGATGCAAGATAAAGGTCCTAATGCATCCCAACTAGTTCAGTTGGATGTAAATTCTGTTCACTTTTAGGTCACACATTTGGTTGATTTTCTTCGTATTCAAGATCTCTGATACCAGTAGAATGCGATCAGTATGAGCTGATATTGTCCATTATAAAAGTTATTCCTTACTGCACCTTTAAAACATTTCGCATGAAAATCTTCACGTTATATTTTAGCAGTCACAATTATATTGTAAAGATATGAAGGCCAGTGCGGCTATTCAGATTCTATATTTATAAGCGATATCTTTCGATAACATTTTCAGAAAACTATTGCTCATGTTTGCGTCCTCCAGCGTGGTTATGTTTTTGTTTACAGACGCATACTGTCAAAACTAATGAAGCCTGGCTAAATGAAACGAATAAAATCGCAGATGAATGAAAAGAAGTCAGACTTGCTCTTACAAATGACCAAGCTTTACTACTTATTCAAAAACTGGAATTTAAAACCAAACCATCTGGATCCTTTAAATACCTTGCAGTGAAGCATTTGATATTATGTACACCGTGTTTCAAAAAGAATATACGTATTACAAAGTGTTACTCCGTGTAAAGCAGTCTGTTATGCAACGGAGCCCCTTTCTCTGTGTATAATAATAATAATAATATAAAGTGTTACTTTGTCAAACTATAGATCACTTTGCCTCGGCTCGGCTGTTGGAGAAACGAATACATAGTTTTATATTAATAGCCGCTAGATGTCAGTTGTCTTCTGTTTTGCGTGGTAACCTCACATGTTTAAAATCGCTACTCCGCAGCAGAAATCATTTTGTGTTCTTGAGTTTGTGAAGTGCAATTCCGTGATTACGGTGCAAAGACGTTTCAAGTTGAGGTACCAAAGTGATCCTCTTGAATGGGTGGAACATTCGTATCGACAGTTTGTAAATACAGGATGTGAATGTAAAGGAAAGAGTCCTGGCCGCCCTCGTGTTCCCGACGAAAATGTTGCACGAATTTAAACTGCTTTCCAACATAGTCCTCCAAAATCAACTCGGCGTGCCAGTCGGGAGTTCCAACTGCTTACAACAACATATTGGCGTGTTTTGAGACGTTAGTTGGTTATGAAGCCGTAGAAGTTATATTTGTTACAGGCTCTGCGTTCCCGATGACAAACGCAAACGTGCGGCATTTTGTAACGAGATTGTTGATGCTATTGACAATGCTAACACTTTCGCACAACGTATCATGTTCAGTGATGAAGCGACTTTTCATTTTAGTGGTCATGTAAGCAAACACAATGTTCGAATTTGGGGCCTACAGAACCCACATGCAGCCATTGAACACGTACGAGATTAATGTGTTTTATGCGATATCCCTATCATCTGTTTACGACCCATTCTTATTTGATGGAAACATGGTTAACGGTAAGCAGTATCTCGCTATGTTACAAAACTGGTTGTTTCCGCTGCAAGAAAACAACTTCATTTTTCAACAAGACGGGGCACCCCCTCGCTGGTGTTGCCAAATGCGTGATTATCTAAATGAAACTCAACCGAACCGTTGGACTGGTCGTCAAGGAGCTAGTGACTTAGCATGTTTCAGTTGGCCTCCACGGTCATCGGATTAGACACCCTGTGACTTCTTCCTGTGAGGTTTCGTTAAAAACAACGTTTATGTACCACCACTCCCATAGAACCTGGAAGAGGTGAAGAACCGGATCCGTACTGTCATAACATCAGTGAAGTCGGACATGTTTGCCCGAGTATGAGAGGAATTTGAATATCGATGTGATATTGTTCGTGTCGCTGATGGAGGACATATTAAACATCTGTAGCATCTGTAATCTGAACTTGAGAGATTCATACATATGTGTGTAAGTTTCATATTTGTACGTCATATAGTTTAATAAATATATGCATTCGAAATACGTATATTCTTTTTGAAACACGCTGTACTTAATAATTCTGACATCTTTGTTTATAAATACAGGCTTTGATTTAACACAAATTTCATGAATACGAAACAAAGCATATATTCTTGTTAGAAAATGAATAATAAAATAAAAGAAACATGATGTATGTAAGATCATAACTTCGTTTCAGGTACATATAGACAGTTGTTTCATCCTGAACAACTGATCACAGGCAAGGAAGATGCTGCTAACAACTATGCCAGAGGCCATTACACCATAGGCAAGGAACTCATTGATTTGGTCTTGGATAGATGCAGGAAACTGGCCGATCAATGTACTGGACTGCAAGGCTTTCTAATCTTTCACAGTTTCGGTGGTGGTACAGGATCTGGGTTCGCTTCTCTTCTTATGGAGAGATTGTCAGTGGATTATGGGAAGAAGTCAAAGTTGGAATTTGCAATTTATCCAGCGCCACAAGTGAGTTTTCAATTTAACAATGAAAATACTACTTAAATTAGCGTGAAAGTGGTTTTTAATTACCTTTTATAATTAATTCATTTGTTTTTTTTAATTACCTTGGCTATTTGTATCTATAATAACAAATGTTTTAAATGAAATCATAACAGGTCTCCACAGCAGTTGTTGAGCCTTATAATTCGATTTTAACCACTCACACAACGCTGGAGCACTCCGACTGCGCTTTCATGGTTGACAATGAAGCCATTTATGATATCAGTCGCCGAAATCTGGACATCGAGAGACCCACCTATACTAATTTGAATCGATTAATCGGCCAAATTGTTTCATCGATTACTGCGTCGCTGAGATTTGATGGCGCTTTGAACGTGGATTTGACTGAATTTCAAACTAATCTGGTACCTTATCCCAGGTAATAATAGTTACATAGATAACATACATTATAATGAATACATAAAATAACTATTATAAGACATAATTAGCATAATAACTTGCTACTTTAAGAAATATACCTGTGTATCTAAAAGAATTCTAAACTTATCAGCAGCACTCTGATTTTTCCCCCTCCGTTAACAGCGGCAATTTTTTTTTGGGGGGGGGCTGGGGAGATTTCACAAAATAGTAAATTACAGGCGTTTTTATAAATAATCGATTGCGTATAATACATTTAAGATTGTACAGATTTTACCAGTTTTTCATATACGTGTATGAATAAAATCATGTCATCATTAACTTTATGTCACGTTTAAATGAAGATCCCTTCAACAACATGAGACATGATGAAAACTCAACCTAGGTTCTCAGACTTTAGGAGGCCCCCCTAAATCCTTCTATTACTTTTTATAACCCTTATGTTTTATTCAATGAAACAATAAATAAATAAATGAATAAATAAACATAGAAAGCCTTTGGGGGGGGGAAGGGAAGGCTGTGTTTCTGGCCTCAAATTGTTTTAATCCGGTTCAATGCTTCAAGATGCCGGTCATTCGTGTACTCAAAATATGATAAGTTCTGTTTCAAATTAAGGAAACCCGAGATTTTTTGCATTATAAAGTTTAGATGACCCATTTATCCCGTAAAGCTAGACTGAACTTCAAACTTTTTACTCAAATTCTTAAAGAAATTTCTTCAATGAGATAATTCTAAGTTCCCCAATTATGAAAATATTGATATATTTATCGCATTATATTCTGCTATTTTAATATTTCAAAAAATTTCGGATTTAAGAGTTTACAAATATTGTTTGTAATGTATGTTAAATAGAGAACTTTTAAAAAAATGCTATTGATAAAATTAATCTGAAATACGAAAGGTATTTCGAATACCATCTACGAAATTCTGATGTAAGCAACACGCAAATACTTGAGAACTTAAGGTGAAAATAACTTGTCCTCGTTATAGTTTCTTTTAGATTTCTGACTGAATTATTGAATCGTGGTAGGGTACACTACAACTATCTATCTGCTTTATGTAGGACTTTCTCCTAGCAACTGGCTCGTATTTACGTTTTGCAGGAGAAAAACCGTAAAACCTTCTACAGTCAGCCTATTGAACCCTATCGAGTTCGAAAGAAAAACCCATAATAAAATATCATACAGAACCCCACTGATTAATTTACTTTTCCTTATTAATTCAACTTTCATCGTGAACTGATGGAGGAGAATTTAAAAACTTAGCATTTGAATGGATTCTACTAAATGAAGCAAAGGAAGAATACTTCCGGTCAATGTAAAAAACTACTTTAAAGTTATGAAACATAAAAAGAATTAATTTTCTTTAATTACTTTTATTCGATTACAGGTTAATACTAAAAGAGATTGCTCTTTCCCTTCTTTAGTTTTTAAATTTATTTTCTTGATCTCTTCTAAGTGTAGGTTTATAATACGCCTGTATACTTCCATGTTTATCTGATTCGTGAATCGACCGTTCACTTCAAAATACGCTTTTACGTTCGCGAAATACACAGCTGAGTAATATTAATGTAACTATTTTTAATAGCCAGAACAATTATCATGTGCAATGCAGACGACGCTTAGACAGGCTAGTACTTAATAAAATGCTGAAAAGTGTTCACAGGGATATGAAACCATGTCTGATCGTAAGTTCTGTTGGATATTGCTGGAAGGTGCATGACGGAAAATACACAGAGGGAACATCTAGAAGGTCCACCAATTTTCGACTAGATTTATGTTTGCGAAATTTGGGGCCAAGGAAGTACACTAAAGTCTCCCTTGTGCTGTTTCAGCCACTCATACACATTCCTAGCTGTGTGATACTTCGCATTGTCGCGTCGGAAAATGTCATTATTTGCGGGGGGAAAAATCTGTATGCACGTGGTCCACAAGGATCGATCTATAGGTAATGCGATCCATATAGCCGTTTACGACGGTAAATGGGTCAAGATAATGTCATAAAGACCTTCTCCAGACTAACATAACTTTGTCTGTCTGATCTTGTATTTGTACATAAATAATTAAATGTTATTTATTCTCCAATGTCTCAACATCCATCCATCCGATAAAGTTAAGAAAAATGATTCATCGGAGAAGGCAATCATCTTCCAATCAGCACAGGTCCACTGCTGTGTTGATTCCAATCTCATCTACAAATAAACAGTCATTAACATAGGCGAACTACCAAATAAATTGCTGAAAATTCGCGCTCATTGAAAATGTGCATTCATAGTTCTAATTTACTACGAGAAACTTCGACAGAGGTGCACCATTTTCTAGAATGAGAAAAAGAACCGATTTCTCCGAAGCCAAAGCTTATCTCAGCTATGTATTTAGACATTCGCCTGAATCGGTGCTAAGGCCTGAAGAAGACGAACATTACTTTTAATTCCAAAATGGAAGCGCAACCTAAAACAATAGGGAAATGTCAAGAGTTGCTCCGCCCACCAACGATCAAGCGGTAAAACCGCTGAACATTAGCGTACCGGTTAGCTGGTCGTTTTCCCCGTATATAACGAGACTGCTAACCAATTCCTCTTAAAAAATCCTCCACGAAGGCATCCTTCTCTTCTTTACTGTAATCCAAAGAACCCGATTAAGAGACTAAAAGTTGTTTCATGATTGGCAAATCTTAAAATCTATTACATCCACTTCGCTTCCGTATTTGACTTTCCACAACGTTGTTTGAGATTGAAATAATAATAATAATAATAGAAGTATGTCACTGCAACAGTCAAAGTTAAAAATGCAAATGATTTCTAAAGAAACAGCGAATGACTTTTGATAAGCTTTTGTTAGCTCACTCATGGTGTTTACCCTTATGGTTAAATACGCTTGTCATCAATTTTTGAGTTATTTCCTAACAAGCTGTCGAGTTCAAATTTAGCACGTGATGAATCTTTTCAAAATTCGATTTAGGTTTTTTTTAAATTTAATGCTCAAATGATTTTTGCACATATCTTAGTTTAAAACTCAAACTAAAAAATCCCAGAATTTTACTGTTTAAACCATTAGATAGAGCGAAAAAACCTTTAAATGAAACCTATACGAAATATTTAACTTACTTCTGATTTTTTGGCGAATTTTCGAAAAATCACTTCGATTTTTTTCTATTATTAATATTTATTATTTTTTCAACATCAGACTGCTCTATTTTTATTAAAGAAAATTGTATATCTTTGAGCTTAGTTTTGAAAATAATGGAGACTTTTAAATCCCCCTATAATATGACTACCACTTTTAATGTAACTGTTTTCCAGTGATACAATATTGCAGTTTTAAAAAAGTTTTAATCGTTTACTTATAAAGATAAGGGAAAAAAAACAGCTTTCAATAAATACAATTTTTATTTCTTTTTTTAGAATCCATTTCCCTCTAGTAACATATGCACCAGTGATATCTGCAGAGAAAGCCTACCATGAGCAACTGACAGTTGCGGAAATAACTAACGCATGTTTCGAACCTGCAAACCAGATGGTTAAATGCGATCCAAGGCATGGGAAATATATGGCGTGCTGTTTACTGTATAGAGGAGATGTTGTACCTAAAGATGTAAATGCTGCCATTGCAGCTATTAAGAGTAGAAGAACTATTCAATTTGTGGATTGGTGCCCCACTGGCTTTAAGGTGAATAACTTTTTCATTAAATTAGATTAATGCACTGTAAATCTATAAGACTCATATTTTAAGAAAAAAATTTAATCGGTTTACGGATTTAAAGAAACGCTAAATGACATCTTCATTGGATCGCCTTATATCTCTAAATGCCATTTAACCTCCTCTGTTCAGATGCTAGGGAGGACAGATTGCTCTGAAACGGTGCCCATTAAAAAAAAAAAAAAAAAAAAAAAAAAAAAACCCGGTATCTTTATGCAAACTGCAAACACACGGGTGCCTGGCACCTTTGTTAAGTTTAATGATGTTAATGTCAATTTTTAATAAAAACAACCTACATCAAGATGACGGGATACTGACATGAAGGTCGCTGTCTTAGTGAACAGACTGCGACTTCCATAATGAGGGTAGGATCTTTATAATAGAGCATCGTATGAAATCTTCCTGGTAGTGAAACAGGAAAATTCTGCACTTTTACGCAGTTAAGCAAAGGTCAGAGCTAACATTTATGAATTTGCGACGATCTAACGATAAAGTTGTTAGAATAATGAGTTTAATACGTTTTTCATTAATGTATCTTTCGATTCTTTTATGGGAGGGGGGCAAAAGCGTCATTAATATCCCTTTCTTCCTATGAGTATATTGTTTCTACTCCGTGAAGCCTGTGGATTCGATGTCTACTAAGAATGATAAGGAGAACATTCTCATGAAAACATCATTCGCGCGGAAGTCGGAAGATCTGCTTCTGAATTCTATACTTAGATTTGAAATGCACTATACATAATCATTTAAGTTCCATATTGTAGTTTTACTCACCAATTTCATGAATTTTCGAAAGAGAATGGAATTCTTATTTGACAATTGACTTTCTCATGGGATTCATTTTGTTTCAAAACCCTTCACAGAGTCGTATACGTTATTACAAGTAGACATTTTCCCAGTAAGCGATAGTTCAGATTATTAGATGGCCAGTAATATCAACAAAAAATACAAAGTCTCTTAATCACTTCTCTTCAAGGAACTGGCAAATAGATTTTCCATTGGATTCCATAAATTGTTAAACTTCTTCCTCTAAGGAGAATAGGCGTTGAAACATCTTTCCTCGGCTCAATCAATGTAGTATTTCTGCGTAATAAAAAACGTCACTAAGCTTAGCTTCGAAATCACTCAACTGTTGAAACTGTCTATAATTAAATTCTTTGAGCCGGATGAAATTAACCACTTTTACAACAGCAGTCATCACATGATCAAAGTTTGAGGAGGACTTCTTGCACAAATTTTCTTCGTGGATGACACAGTGGAAAGCCAACTATTTCCACATGCCTTCGCATCAATAATCATAAAAATAATGATGTATTTGTTTTTATTTTTGCTGGCCCAAATGGCAATTCCATATGTCATATGGGTATATATACTATATGATTCTATGATAACGTAGAAAGTTTGTGGTACATTTATTGAATATTACTTTGTTTCTTTCTCATTTTTTATGCATTACAATGACACAGCGTATTCCTTATGAGGTGTAATATGCTATTATGCGAGTTTTCAAATGATAGCATGGGTTAAATAATACATTACTCTCAATCTAACTTAATTGGCATTGGGTTCTTCCGCTACTTACAATATAAAACAAAGTCCTTACGTTTAGATTTTAACTTATTGAATATACCTGCTGCCAGACCCCTACGCGTCTCACTACTGTCACATCAGACAAGCTAATGTTCCAAATAGCTTGAGCCTGTGATGGGTAAAGCATGGAAACTGCACGCTGGACATTTTCCATCAATGAAATGTTTATAACGTTTAGCAATTTTTTTCTGTTATCATGTTGGCTAACATGAACATTATTTTCGGACTCTTTACTCAGAAGAAAAAAAAAAAGACTGCTAATAGTTTAGCTTTGATTTTCATTCACTCACTTTATCAATTTGCAAATGTTCTACCAGTGCAGAATATTTCCCATTTTGCTTAGAATCTTCATGCCTCTTGGTTATTTAATTACAGCTACTCTCTCGTTGCAAATAGGGCAAACTGCCTTGCTCTCAACTTGTGCTCAACGGAAAAACAAAAAGATAATTACTTATCTTGAATAAAATCGCACCTTATCTTTTTTTTTTTTTTTTTGGTTTTTGTTGTCACGGCTTACCATTGTGCGCTCATTATCCGTATTCGGAAGTGGTTTCTTTTGTGTTTATTTTAGAATATTAAGAAGATTTTATATTAAGAAGGTCAACATGATAGGGTGCTAAAATATATCGACCCTCAACAAAAGAATAGCTCGGCGACATAAATATCAAACATCTCGCAAACTTCTCCGTGGGGAAAATTTAAGAAAAGCAAAGAATTGAAGTTTCCTTTTTAAGGTATCAAAAAGACTCAGATGTGATACAGGCGATGTTTATGCAGGATGGTGCTCCTCCACATATCGCCAGTTGTGTGAAACAAATGCACCGCCGCTATTTCTGTGACGACAGAATCATCAGCCAGCAGTTTCCTACAGCTTGGCTTCCTAGATCCCCCGACTTGAATCCTTGCGACTTTTGGCCGTAGCGATACCTCAAAGCGCTATGGTCTACCGTGATTTCATCACAGCTCTATCCGAGAAAGCAAAGAACCCCATCTGCGTAACATTTCCCAGTTCGTGCTGCTTTTAACAATCGAACATGTGATTTTACGCTTCCAGATGGTAGCAGACAATGGTGGACATCATATCGAGCATGTTTTGTAAACTTTTGTAGATTAGTTATATGTCCTCAATAAAGCTATGATACACCACTTAAGGGTGGTTTTTGCAACACATTGTTTTTTTCCCTCGATAAAATTCCCATCATTTCATTCTGCCATTACCCAATTTTCATGCAATTCCGCTGAATAGTTTTTGCTACAGACTGCTAGTAAATTTCAAGTTTAATTATGGACACCCTGTATATTAAAATTTTCGTGGCCCTATACCTAATATATAAATGTAGAACCATTTGTTGCTAAGTATATAAATCATATCGTTATACATATATCATTATGCCTAAACTATCGGCCAATTAATCAGCCAAAAATTAATTTTTATTTCACTTTATATGAAATTTCATAAATTTCTTATAATTGGAAGGGATTACAGTTACTCAAAAATGAATACTTAAATTAGGTCGGCATCAACTACCAGCCACCAACTGTTGTACCCGGCGGAGATCTTGCTAAAGTTCAAAGAGCTGTTTGCATGCTTGCTAATACAACGGCTATCGCTGAAGCTTGGTCCAGACTCGACCATAAATTCGACCTTATGTACGCCAAGCGTGCTTTCGTGCACTGGTACGTCGGTGAAGGGATGGAAGAAGGAGAATTTTCGGAAGCTAGAGAAGATTTAGCAGCCCTCGAAAAGGATTATGAAGAAGTGGGACTAGATTCCACAGAAGGTGGAGAAGAAGAAGGAGAGGAAGAGTATTAAATTTTTCATTCGTTTTTTGAAAATTTAAATTTTTTCTGGAATATACAACAATCTTATTCTTAATTTATTCTAAATTTTTTGTGCAAAGTTTTGGAAGTATTGCTTTTATTCAAAACTGAAGATTTTTCAGACATCATTTCAGATTTTAAATAGTGACATTTTAAATTTCAGATTTTTCATTGTAATGAAAAGTATATTGTTTGCAACTTATTACAATTTAAATTAAATATTCCATCTCATCATTTTATTAACATCATTCAGATTATACTAAATTTTCAACGTGTGTTTGCTTTTAGGCTTACATTTTATGTGCATATTTGAATAAAATATTAAATTTTTCTAAGATTTTAAGTTATATTGAATGTTTTTACGAATACGTCTAATTTTTACTTAGAATATTACGATAATAAAGAAGAAAATTTCATTTGCTATTTCTGGCAATAATTGTAATCAAATATGCTTTTACCTCCACGTATTTTTTCATTAATTCCATTAAAACAATTATTTAAAGCTTTAATCTTTCAGTGGGCAACATAATTTCTTAATAAATTTCTACTGATATTCAATTACATCAATGATATATCGCATAATAGTTGTACAAATAATATTCATCTTTTAGTTTACAGCTAATAATAAGCTAATAATAAATTCTGATCTACACTCTTTTGAAAAAAAAAAAAAAAAAATTCGAAGCACCATGAAGGAAGTGGTGATTTTTGATGAAATTATGAAATTGAATACGTGTATAGATCATACACAGATAATAAAATAATTAAAACATCAAGGTCATATTACCTGTTCACGGCTCACAATCACCCACTAAGTGTTCAAATTAGTAGTTGGTCGAACCTCCCCTGGCGGCAATGCATGCTTGAATTCGTCCAGGCAAGGAGTGGTAGAAGTTTCTAATGTCATCCTGCGACACTTTCTGCCAGGCATTAATCAGTTGCCTCTACAGGTCTGCGATATTTTGTGGTGCCCGAATTTGGCGGTCTGTCATGTCCCAGACATGTTCGATTGGTGAAAGGATTGGTAACCTTGTTGGCCAAGGAAGAGTATCAACCGTACGGAGACAGTCCAGAGATATGCGAGCGGTATGTGGCCTGGTATTATCTTGTTGGAAAATGGCTCCAGGATGACGCGCCATGAAGGGTGCCGCAGGATGGTATCAACATATCATTGAGCTGTTACGTAGGATGACTAAAGATGACCTGCTGTCATAAGAAATAGCGCCTCACACAATTGTGGTGATGGCGATAAGGAGCGCGCCTTGCGCCCTCCGATAAGTGTGGCAACCCTAGAGGAGAAATTTCTTACGAGTAGCGAGCAGAGCGAAACAGGCAGGCTGTCGGGCAGTGTGCGCGAAGTTCCTAAATAAAGCTTAATTTTTATTGTGCACTATGTCTTGTTAATATATATTAATGCAGTAAGAACATAATCTGTGATATGGAATTCGAGGATTGGTGGTAAAAACATAACCGGAAATCTCCATAATGGTAACCTGGACTGTGTTAAATCGTATGAACAGTTCTCAAGCACTTTCGGTTTTGACTACAAGCCATCACTCAAGATCTCCAAACCAGAAGTAATGGATTACATCGGTTTTCATCCTCTGAATCACAGATGAGTAGTAATTATAGATCATTTTATAATTCTGTTTTCTACTTATCATTTAATTTAATTTTCTTTAGTTAAATTTTTGCTTTTATTTTGGCTTAAAAACCTTGCACAATGTCTGATGTTCATGCCGTCCAAATTCCGGTTTATAACCGATCAGACCCATCTTTATGGTTTATTATGTGTGAAAGTACCTTTGCTCTTGCCACCCCCAAACCTATCACAGAATCCATTACTAAATATAATTATGTAGTTTCTCATCTTCCTCCAGATATCGCATCACTAGTACGGGATTTACTTATGAAACCAGACCCTATTGATCCATATGCAAAGCTTAAAACTGAGTTAATAAATCGTTCAGGAGAATCTTCTCAGCAAGAAATTCGCCAATTATTATCTGGAGAAGAATTAGGTTCTCGAAAACCTTCCGATTTGCTTAGAAATATGAAACGTCGAGCAGAATCTTTAAATGTTCCTGATAACTTAATGTTAGAATTATTCCTTCAACGTTTGCCTTCGACTGTTCAGTCTATTTTGGCAGCGGTTTCCAATTTAACTGTAGATAAAGCTGCAGAAATTGCCGACAGAATTTTAGAAGTAAATCCAACCCCAGGGACTTGTGCCGTTTCTCGCACAGTCGATCAGTCTCTTGAGGATAAATTATTTAAACAAATAGAAAAATTAAACAAACGTATTGATCGCATTTCTCTTTCTCGTGGTCGCTCGCCAAATCGCGGAGATCGCAATAAGGAAAGAAGCAATTCCAAAAGGAGAGATTATTCTGTTTGCTGGTATCATAGACGTTTTGGGAAAAAGTGTAGAGATGACAAATGTACAAAACCTTGTTCATGGCAGGGAAACGAAACCAGCAAAGAATAGAGGCGACTTATTCTTTGCCTCAAGTTTCACGTCGCCTGTTCGTTCGTGACCGTAGAACAAACCTTTCATTCTTGGTCGATACCGGCTCTGACGTGTCCTTACTTCCAGCAAATAATTCTCAAAAACGGAATTCGTCCCAACAAACACTTTTCGCTGCTAATTCTTCTACTATTCATGTTTATGGTCAAAAAACACTTTCTTTGGATTTCAAATTAAGACGACAGTTTACATGGACTTTTCTTATAGCAAATGTTAGTACACCCATTCTTGGAGCAGATTTTTTCTCCATTTCTTTGAATTGGTGCCTGATCTCAGAAACAAATGTCTCAAAGATTTAAAAACGCATTTTAAAAACCGTCGGTTGCGTGAAAAATGCAAGCAGCATTTATTCAGTAAAAACTGTATTTAGTGATACACCATATCACAAAATTTTAAAAGAATTTCCTTCAGTTACTAGATTACCAGATCCTAACCAACCTGTTAAAAACATAAACACCGTTCATTATATCATAACTAAAGGTCCACCTGTGGTTGCAAAACCTCGTCGGTTAGCTCCAGATCGCTTAAAAATAGCAAAACAAGAATTTCAAACTATGATGCAATTGGGGCATTTGAGACCTTCGAGCAGCAATTATGCATCCCCACTTCACATGGTTCCAAAAAAGGGAAGTCTGGAATGGAGACTTGTAGGAGATTATCGAGCATTGAACGCTCAAACAATAAAAGACAAATACCCTATTCCATGCTTAGCCGATTTTACTGCTGCATTGCACGGTACTAAAATTTTTAGTCATGTCGACCTGATTAAGGCATACCATCAAATACCAATTAACCCAGCCGACATCCACAAAACCGCCATATGCACACCATTCGGTTTATTCGAAAGTACCCGTATGCAATTCGGCTTATGCAATGCATCTGCGACTTTTCAACGTTTTATAGATGAAGTCACGCGGGATTTAGAAGGCGTTTACGCTTTTGTCGATGACTTGCTCATAGCCTCTAAAGATTCTGAGGAACATTGCAGGCATTTGAAAGCTTTATTTTCCAAACTTCAGGAATATGGACTTTGCATAAATGTTTCAAAATGCACACTTTGGTCAAACATCTATTGATTTCTTAGGTTTTCACCTTAGTGAAAACGGAATTGAACCTCTTCCTGACAAAGTCAAATGTATTTTAGATTTTCCTCAACCTACCACTCTCACTCAGCTTCGCCGATTTTTAGGCATGTTTAACTTTTATAGATGTTTCATACCTAAAGCAGCACATATTCTTTCTCCTTTAATAAAATTGTTAGAAGGCTATATTAATAAAAAGAAATCTCGTTCTCGTGTTCAGGATTCATCCCCACAATTAAATTGGAACGAGAATGCTGAACAAGCCTTTATTGCTGCCAAAAATGCCATTGCTCAGGCTACCCTTTTGAGACACCCTATTCCCGGAGCCCAGCTAAGCATCTGGGTAGATGCCTCAGACGTCGCAATAGGCGGCACACTTATGCAATTGTCTCAACAAACATGGGAACCTATAGCATTTTTCTCTATGAAACTCAGTAAAAGTCAACAGAAATGGTCCGCGTACGATAGGGAATTATTTTCTATTTATTCTGCAATTAAGAAATTCCGACACATGTTAGAGGGCAGAAATTTTATAATTTATACGGATCAAAAAACCGTTAATATACGCTTTTAAACAGAACCCTCATAAATGTTCACCTCGACAATTGCGCCATTTAGATTTTATTTCTCAGTACTCTACTGATATTAGGCATGTGCAAGGTTCGAAAAAACGTCGTTGCTGACGCTCTTTCAAGAATCGAAATTGATTCCATAACAAAATCTCCATTTTTGGATTTTAAAAAATTTTCGGAAGCTCAACGGCATGATCCGGAGGTACAAGACCTTCTCAAAAACAACACATCATCTTTGAAACTGGAATTTAAACCGTGCCAATATTCTGATGGTAATATTCTTTGTGACATATCAACAGACATTCCTCGTCCATTTGTTCCGAATTCCTTTCGCAGACTCATCTTTAATCATCTGCATAATCTGTCACATCCAGGAATTGCAGCTACTACGAAGCTTATTTGTTCTCGTTATGTATGGCCCGATATGAAACGTCATATCAAAAAATTGGGTGAAATCCTGTGAATCTTGCCAAAAATCGAAAATTACTAGGCATACTAAAGCACCACTGGGCACATTCTCTCTTCCTGATGCACGTTTTTCAGAAATCCATATGGATATCGTCGGACCGTTACCTCCATCAGAAGGCAATGTGTACCTTTTGACTCTAATAGATAGATTCTCCAGATGGCCTGAAGCCATTCCCATCCCGGATATGAAAACGGAAACCATTTGCAGAGCCATCTTCAACTGTTGGATATCTCGTTTTGGCTGCCCATCGATCATAACAACAGACCAAGGTTCTCAAATGAGATCCGCACTTTTTGCAGAATTCACGCGCATTTTGGGTACGAACAGAATCACAACAACAGCCTATCATCATCCAATGTCAAAGGCATTGTTGAACGATTTCATCGACATTTAAAATCTTCTCTCAAGGCTCACGAGACCAATAACTGGACTGAAACACTACCAGTTGTTATGCTTGGTATTCGGACAGCCGTAAAGGAAGATCTACAGTCATCTTGTGCTGAACTGGTGTACGGCACAACTCTCAAGCTGCCTAGTGATATGATAACGTCATCTAAGATATCTCCGTATGACACACAATTTATCACGAATCTTAGGCATAGAATGCAACAGTTGAATCCAATAGCAACATCTGCACATTGCCAAGAAAAATGTTACGTAAGTGCTACCTTAAAGTCGTGTACGC